TCTTGGACCAAGAGGTTGTTATCACTGGGGCTGAGGTGGGTATGGACAGTTGGGTCCTGGCAGGGGAGGGTGTAGCTGTTGTGTTTATACTTCAATGACTTCCCCCTTCTCACCTCCCACTCCTGCCCTACCCCTGGTACCAAAGTCTGCTTTTAGGTTTTGGTTTCAGGTCTTTGGACCTCTCCTGAAAAGGGGCAAAAAGGGGAGGACTTTAGGGAGTGCTCCTTTTAATTGGTCTAGCACAAAGGAGTAGCCTTAAACCCACATCAACCCAAGTCCATTGATTTATTCCCCAAACACTTGAAAATTAAGGACATTTTCTCAACCCTCTCAACTTAAGTTGCCATTGGACACGTCCACACACTCCTAAAGTCCCAAAGTCTACCTCTCTAACTTGAGTCCCTAAATCAGGAAACTTTTGTGATCCACCCTCTACACCCTGTCTCTTTGAACCCTTCCTATTTGTCATGTCTTAGAGCTCAGTAGGATTGAGATTGTCTCTAATTAGTCCTCCATATATCTTGATTATGCAGGATTGGTTATGTGTTTTCTCCCCTATTAGGTTATGACCTCCTTCAGAGCAGGATGCTCCTTCAGAGCATTTTTCTTTTATAACCCCATCAATTAACACAATGCCTGCCACTTGTGAGTGCTTTGTAAATGCTTGTTGACTTGACTTCCTTACATTCATGTGCCTCAATTTGTTCAACTATCCTTCAGCTTTCTGGTATTTTTTAAAGGTATCACAAGAAGTTTGGCTGTCATTATTTTTATGTATTTTCATCCTTTTTATTTGTCATTGAATATTTCTGGGGTACATGACCAGTACTTGGATTATTGAGCCAGAGGGCTACAGTAATTTGGTGACTGTCTTGCAAAATTCCAAATTGTTTTTTCAGAAAGGTTAGGCCAATTCACAGCTAGCTCTATTACAGCAGGTCTGTTTTCTTACAACTCCTCTAGCACTGACATTTCAATCCTTTGTCATCTTTGCCAATCTGATGTGTGTAACTCGTTTTAATTAGAATTTCTCTTCTTCTTCTTCTTCTTCTTGTCTCTTATTATAATTACCTCTATTTTCATATTCTCTTATTATTATTTGGAACATTTTTCAAATAGCCTATGATTCTTATTTTGAAAATGGTTCATATTGCATGATCACTTATCTATTGGGGGAATGGGTTTTGACCTTATATACTATATCCTATATAGCTTCAAGGACAGATTTTTATTAGAGATAATTGATAGAAAATTTTTCTCACCCTCTTTCCCACTGTTCCAACATTATGGCCCCACAGGACTTAAGAGCCAATTTATATTTGTCTCATGTCTTTAGCCATGGATTGTCAGCTATGTCCAAAAAAAATCTAGCCTTCTTGTAATGGCCTTTTTGTACTTAGCTAGACTGGGCCTCAGAAAGCACACAAAACATGTTGTCATGACCATGTCCCCAGACTTTCCATCATGGTACAATCTACCAGAACAAACAATACTACAGCTATTGCCATTTTACAGATGATGAAACTGAGACTCATAAAAATTGAATGACTTATTCTCTAATTGACAAATAGTCAAAGAGTATGAACAGGCAGTTTTCAGATGAAGAAATTAAAGCTATCTATTGTCATATGAAAAGATGCTCTAAATCACTAGTGATTAGAGAAATGCAAATTAAAACAACTCTGAGGTACCACCTCACATCTATCCAATTGGCTAATATGACAAAAAAGGAAAATGATAAATGTTGGAGAAGATGTGGGAAAATTGGAACAATAACACATTGTTGGTGGAGTTCTGAACTAATCTAACCATTCTGGAAAGCAATTTGGAACTATGCCCAAAGGGCTATAAAAATATGCATACCTTTGATCCAGCAATAGCACTACTAGGTCTGTATCTCAAAGAGATCATGAAAAAGGGTGAAGGACCCACATGTACAAAAATATTTGTAGCAGCTCTTTTTGTGGTGGCCAAGAATTGGAAATTGAAAGAATGTCCATCAATTGGGGAATGGCTGAACAAGTTGTGGTTTATGAATGTAATGGAATACTATTGTGCTATAAGAAACGATGAGCAGGTAGATTTCAGAAAAACCTGGAAAGACTTCCATGAACTGATGCTGAGTGAAGTGAGCAGAACCAGGAGAACCTTGTACACAGTAACAGCCACATTGTCCGATGATTAACTTTGATAGACTTAGCTGTTCTCAGCAACACAGTGATCTAAGACAATTTCCAAAGACTTGTGATGGAGAATGCTGTCCACATCCAGAGGAAGAACTATGGAGTCTGAATGCAGATGAAAGCATATTATTTTCTCTCTTTTTTTTCTTCCTCATGGTTTTTCCCTTTTGTTCTGATTCTTTTTTCACAACATGACTAATATGGAAATATGTTTAATATGATTGTACATGCATAGCTTATATCAGATTGCATGCCGTTTTGGAGAGGGGGAAGGAGAGAGAGAAAAAAATTTGGAACTCAAAATCTTATAAAAGTGAATGTTGAAAACTATCTTTACATGTAATTGGAAAAATAAAATACTATTAAGCAGGAAAAAATAAATTTAATGACTTGCCCATGGTCGCACTGCTAATTAGTGTCAGAGGCAAGATTGAAATGTATGCCTCCCTGACTCTAAGTCCAGCTCTCCATCACTCTATCCACTATGCTCCACTGCCTTTCTTGAAGCAATACTTGTGAGAGCCTTGTGCAAACTTGTGCAGGGATTGAGTCATTCAGAAAAATAAGAACAATGCAACAGTGGCCATCCCATGGAGCATATATGGAACCCTGGCTACTTCTAGTAACACCTGTTCTGGCTGGAGCCTAGGGACAAGTGCTCTGAACCAAAGGACTCGGCACTTTGGGATGATAAAAGCCAGTCCTGAGTGGTTCCTTGGTCTCTAGGAGGATAGCAAGCTGCATCAAAGAGGATTGGCCACAGAAACAGGAAGAGCTACCCACTCAATAGACTTTAAAGGTCCACCCTGTATATATGCCTCTCCCTCCTTCAGCTCTTCAGAACTTGTGGCAAAAAAAACTTACTCTTTCTTTCTCTTAGGGGTTTCCCATGAAAGGTGGAGGAGGGGCACCCTAGCAGAAATGGCAGACTGCTCACCTATGCTGGCCAACAGAGTGCTGGCTTAAGTGAGCCTGAGATTGAATTTCAAAGCCCTGACATCTCTTCTGTGTTTCTTTCCCTGAGCAGAGGTGACTGAACAGAGATCTGGAGATGGAAGTCTCCAGCCTGGGAGGCAACGTCATGCGTTAGAGCACTTGGAAGCTCTTGGGCTCCTCAGGCAGCACCATCTGAACTATGAGGGGTGGCCTTACAGGTACTCCAGTTTCTTGGGGGAGATACCACAGATAGGAGGAGGCTCCCAACTCTTCCTTGACTTGGCTTTCCAGGAGACATGAACTCTGAGGGAGATAATGTAGAGTGGAGCTGTCCTGCTAAAAATGTTTCATGTTTTGGTGTTAAAGTTTAGGCCTCCCCAGTCGTAAGTTACTGCTGCTGGGTTAAGTCATTGTTAATACATGCTTGTGAGTCCTTTGCATTAAGCATTTCTTTTGGGTAGAAGAAATAAATAGCCTTTGTATTCCTCCTTTTTGGGAAGATCTTACACATGAGTCCAACCTCATCTTTGGGTTGAGTCAGAAAGAGCCACAGTTTTAGGAAAAGAGCCTGACCCAGGCTTCCCAGGACTCTGGACTGAACTCCTACTCTTGTGGCAAATAATTCTTTCTTTCTCTGAAAAGCAGAGGCGGGGCACTCCAGCAGAAATGGAAGACAGCTGCTGGGTATGGCTTCAGAGGTGGGGTTCCTTCAGCGGGAAGGGAAGACAGAGAGCTCCTCATCCTGCTAAAGCCCCCAAGCATGCTGAGTGTAGTTACCACAACAATAATAAAAACAGCTGACCCAAGCATGTGAAGATGGAATGGGTGAATGAGGACAGTTTGTCCCAGTAGCCATGAAGGCAGGCACTGTGGAGTGCTTAGAGCTTGGTCAGACATAGAAGATGCCAAGGTCATCCACCTGTCAGTCATCCTGACAGGTTGGAGGAGACAGTGAGGCTGACAACTTTGTGCAGCTCTGTCGAATTTAAATCCAATTGATGAGCAAGATGTTGTTGGTCCTCTTCAAAAACTAAGGACGCACAACAAACAACAATAGAAAACAGTATGGCAATAGGATGGTGTAGTGGATGGTGCCTTGGGCTTGGAGTCAAGAAGACCTGAATTCAAATCCAACCTTGGACACTTGCTAGCTGTGTGACCCTGGGCAAGTCACTTAACTTCTTTTGCCTCAGTTTCTTCACAGCTGAAGAGTGGGAATAATAATAGCACCTACTTCCCAGGGTTGTTGTGAGGATTACGAAACAAGCTTTGTAAAACTTATACATAAATGTTAGCTTTTTTTTTCCCCCAAACCCACGGGGGTTTGAATCTCTGCTCTACCTTGGGCACTTTGTGTGATCTCGGGCAAGTCAGCTAACTTCTCTGATTTGAAGTCTTCTCACATGCAAAATGAGGGAGGAAGACTATGGGACATTTGAGGCCCCTTCCTACTCTATCAGCCTATAGACTTTGGCAACATTCTGGTGTGGGAGCTATAGGGTTAAACATAAGCCTGCACAGCCTCTCGAAGGTGAGGACTATACTATCTCAAGAGTAGGTAGAACCTACTCCAGAGCCGCACTAGCGGGGACGGCCCTGCCCGGCAGGCCTGTCGTTTTTGAAGGGAGAAGGGTGGATAGCGATGAACGATGAACGTCTGTGGTCGGACTCTCTCTTCCCCCCCCGCAGCTGTGGGCTCTTGCCATCTTCCTGCACCCCTTCCCCCCGCCTTCCGAAGGATGGAACATTCCGAGGCTTTCCCCATTCCCGAGGCCCCGCCTCTCTGGTGACGCCACTAGGAGTTCCCCGCGCAGGTCCCGCCCCCGTCCTCAGGCCTTGGGCCGGCGAAGCTTTTGTGCCCGGTGGGCGGGCGGAGGGAGCCGCCATGCCAGGACCCGGGGCTCTCGCCCCAGGCTCGCCGCCTGCCGCTTCTTGCCGCTGGAAGCTGCACATCATTCGCCAGCTGCAGCAGCGAGACCGGAGGCAGAAGGCTCTGTTCTTGGACCTGGTGGAGGCTTGTGAGTGGCAGCCCTGGGGGGGGGGGGGGGGGGGGGGGTAGGGAGGAGCCGAGTAGGGGCATCAGCGTTGGGACAGGGCGGTAAACAGACCAGGAGGTCCCTGGAGATTGGAGGGGGCCGCTGGGGTGGAACTGGGAGTCAGGAAGAAAGGCCTGGGGCGACAGATAAGCATGACCCTGGAGGCGAGTGGGGGCACTCACTCAGTGGGTCACTACAGTGACAGAGATGCCTCTGCAGAGAAAGGCTATGGGGTGGGCAGATGTCAGCTCCGGAATTCTCGTCCTGAAGAAAGCAAAGACTTAGGAGCAGGACGAGGAAGTACCTCCTACCCTAATGGCACAGGTTGGGATCCTAGGAGGAGGGACAGTCGTGTATTCCTAGGGAATTTCGGTGGGACAGAAAGGTGTTTTTTAGGAGGGTTGGGAGAAAGAGGAACCTTTTATACGAAGAGGGAGTGATCCCAGAAATTCTGAACCTGCGGATGAAAAGGGAGGGATTTGAGATTTGAGAAGAGGAAAGGAGATCTGGTCCAGGAAAAGGGGACGTCCTTATAGAATAGATTTCTGGATTTGGAGGGGAGGCTGGGTGTAAACAGAGAGTTGGCCTCAGGAATAGAGAGGGCCAGAGGGAAACTGGTAGAAATGGGGTTTAGAGAACTTATATGGGAGAGGAAGGGAGATCCGTATTCCGGTAGAGTCCCTGGGGTGGGGCGGTGGCGCTGTGGTTTGGGTTAGAGTCTGTGGGCAAAGGGAGGAAAACATTGTGGAAGAGGTGACCTCAGGAAAGAATGTATGACCTGAGGGGGACTTGGTTGTCCTGGATGGTTAGGGTTAGCAGACTTGGAGGGAGGAGCAGACAGGTGAAGGTGGGTGTGGTAAAATGACCCTTTAAGAATGCCAAGCTCTGAAGCTGAAATGCGTGAAAAAGCAGACTTCATCCCCACCCCATCCCCAAGGAGGTCAGAGATAGCCCAGCCACCTTATTCCCTTTGAGGGTAGAGGAACTAGGAAAAGAAGACTAGATTAGTTCTAGAGACCAAAAGGTGTCAGAGTTCCAGTGTTTGGGGGTCCCAGTGCACCTTTTTCCCCTTAGGGCTGAAACTCTGGATTTGAGGACTAAGCCACCTTGGAAAGAGGGGAGTCTGAGCCTTCAAAGCGTAGTTCAAGCACCACCTAGTTCAGGAAGACCAAACTTGATTTTTCCCTTCTCTGCTATCCTCCAGACTTGTCTAAGCCCCACAATCTCACTCCTGATTATAGGAGTATCTTGGATCTTTGGCCTTCCTCCTGTCACATCCAGAGGTCCCTGAGGGCAAGGCATGTTTATTCTTTTCGGACCAGATGCTCCATGAGAATAGGAGCTGTGTATCAGTTATCCAACATATCAGATATGAGGCCAGAGAGGCTGTCACAGGTTCAGATTCTGACCAAGTCAGTGGTTTTTAGACAAAAACCCCTGATCTCAGCTCCGAGCTGTCTTTATTGTTTCCCAACTCAGCCCTGCCCTCCCTAGCTTCCCTGCCTCCCCCTCTCCACCTTAAAAGACAAGCTAAGAAAATGTAGATTTCTTAGTATGGCCCTATCACTGTAGACACAATTTTTAGTCCATGTCCTTGGTCCTATGACCAGTATATATATTAGGTAAATGCTTGTTGGTTGATACAGGCAGAATCATAACTAGGAATAGCACCTGGGACAAAATACACAATGTGTGTGCATATGGGGTGGGGGTGGGGGGCAGAGGCAGATCTTGTTCTGGGGGACTATGTTTTGTTTAGCATCCTAGAGATTTAGTGGCCTTCTTCTTGGCTGGACATGATATGGAGAAGCATATCCTCCATCTCCCATCCCCAGCATCTTGGTCCCTTGCCCTGGAGGGCCCAGGTCCCTGAAAAGCCTCTTCTCTGTGTATAGATCATAATTAGGGGACCATTTTCTAGCCTTCTGCTTAGCTAGCCCCTGGTTTCCAAGAAGCTAGGCTTCCTCTCTGCCCAAGAATGATGTTCTGACAGTCCTCTGAAGTGTCTGCTCTCAACAAGAGCTCCCAAGTTCAGGGCAGTACTCTTTGTCCCTATCCTTTTGTCTGTAGGACTTCCATTTTAGCACCTGGACAAAAACCTGGTTTGCCTACCCATGCTGCAGCTCTGGTACAGGGTGAGGGATGGTGGGGGTGGTGGTGGTGGTGGTAGTGATATGGTGGTTAAGACTCTAACCTCTGGTCAGGACGAATGCTGGTTTTTTTGCTTTGTAATGTGTCAGTCATCTCCAAAGATTTCATTTAGTCTACTGAACATGTGTCTAATAATCCAGTTTCAGCTCTTAACCGTTATTTTGTATCCATGGAGATGAAAGTCTAAAGTCTGTCCCCTGGCCCTCCTGCTGCTGCCTTTTGCCCTCAGTGGGACCTGATGTCACACACTCTGCCTCCCCTCCCCCAAAGCTTTAGAAACACCTCTTCCTGAGACCTTAGCTTTGCTCCTTGCACAACAAGAAAGAAACACATTCTTCCTATTTGAGCCCAGGTCAGGTTCTTCTGCCTTTTGGTGACTTTGGGGAAGCTTCTGGGACCTCTCACCTGACCTCTAGGCATTATCTTGCACAGCTCCTAGCCTGCTGATGGGCTCTCCTGGTCTCCTGGACTCTGTGGCAAGCCCTGGGTTCCCACAACTAGAGGAGAGTTCAGATGTGATGGGCTCCATAGTGGGCTCCGTGATGAGCTCAGGGATCTCAGCAGGAGAGGCTGAAGCTGTGGGGACCTAGGTGGCAGCTCCAGAGTAATACCAGTGACTCCCATTTCTATAGCTCTAGGGATTACAAAGCTCCTTCCCCATACTAACTCTCTGAAGTTGTTGATGCAAAGATTATTATCCCTTATTTTACAGAGGAGAAAATTGAGACTCAAGAGATTTAAGCACTTGCCTGTGGATTGGAGCTGACACTCAAAAAAGCAGGTCTTTTGACTGCAACTCCAAGGAATTTTCTATTATACTGTATTGCCTCACGACCCCATCTCCCTAGCTGAGAGTTCTTATAATGAGTTTTGTGTTGACTCCCACCTCCAGGCAGGTTCTTGTACTCTTCCCTCTAACAGGCCCCTACCAGGTTCTCAAAGATGCCCATGGTCTTGTTCTCCATACTTTTCAGAGAGTTTGCTTCAAAGAGTGGGACAGGGTAAAGAACTCCAGATTTAGAGCAAGAGGCCCTAGATTCCAACCCTAATTCTACTTGAATGACCTTGGGCAAATCACATTACCTCTCTGGGCCTCAATTTCCTAATCTGTAAAACGAGGGCATTGGGCTAGATGTCCTCTGAGGTCCTCTCTTATGATCTGGACTGATGTGCCAAGAGGTGTTGAAGGACAGCAGTGGAGTGGTAGGAATAGCTCGTCTTTTGAGTCAGAAGAGACCTGGATTGAAGGTCCAGCTTTGACACTTTTGAGCTGCCTGAGCTTCAGTTTCTCCATATGTCAAGTAGGGGTAACAACAGTGATAACATCTACCTCACATAATTGTTGTGAGTCAAGTACTTTATACACCTTAAAATGCTTTCTATTAAAATGGGAGCTCCTATTATTTCTATCATGAGCAACATTATTGTTATTATGCAGAGGGCTTGAGGAAGCATTCTCTTATTCCTACCTTCCTGGGAACATGAATGAATGAATGAATGAATGAATGAATGAATGAATGAATGAATGAATGATTGAATGAATGAATGAAAAACGCTTTATTAAGAACAGCAGTCTGATGGAGGAGACACTTCTGGAAGAACTGTCATGATGGCAGCCCAAGAGCAGTTCAAACTTGTATTAATTGATGATAGAGTTCCTAGAAAAAATTACATTTGTGAAACATCACTTAACTGGTGAATTTGAGAAGAGGTATGTAGCCATCTTGGGTGCTGAGGTCCGTGCTCTCATGTTCTGTACTAACAGAGATCCTATTAAACTCAATGTGTGGTATACAGCTGGCTGAGAGAAATTTGGTGGTCTGAGAGGTAGTTATTACATCCAAGCTCATTTATGCTGTTTGATGGAACATCAAGAGTTACTTACAAGAATGTGCCTAATTGGCAAAGGGATCTGGTATGAGTATGTGAAAATATCCCTATAGTGCTGTGCGGCAACAAAGTGGATATTAAGGACAGAAAAGTCAAGGCAAAGTCAGTTGTCCTCCTTAGGAAGAAGACTCTAGTACCATGACATTTCAGCCAAAAGTAACTACAACTTTGGGAAGCCCTTTCTTTGGCTTGCTTTTGTTGTGGTTCAGTCATGTCCAACTCTTTGTGACCCTATTTGCAGTTTTCTTGGCAAAGATGCTGGAGTGGTTTGCCATTTTATTCTCTGGGTCATGCAGATGAGGAAACTGAGGCAGGGATAAATGGTTTGCTTAGGGTCACACAGCTAGTGAGTGTCTGAGGCCGGATTTGAACTCAGGGAGTTTGTTGCCATGCCTGCCCTTGTCCCTGCAGAGGTTGTCTTGGACCCAGCACAGTATGAGCAGGACTTCCTGATAAAGATGATGATTGATCTGTAAGGGAGTGAAGTTGGAGCCCAGCATCACAGGTCTAGTTTTATAGGCAATGGTCCTGTGATGTCGGCGGTGTAGCATTTGCCACTTGATTATATAGCTGAGCAGAACATGTGCTTAATCTTGGAGAGGCAGAAGGAAATGACTAGACTTGGAATAGATGGGGCAGTTTAAGAATAGATAAATAATTCATATTTTGGACCTGCAGATGTAGCTGTTTTGGACTGCAGTTATGTCCCCTTGAGTTTCAAATATAAGACTATCCCAATATTCCTATTTCTTTTTTGTTTAGATCATAAGAAAGTTGTATATTTAAAATACAAGGGAGCTCTTATCTCTTGTTTACAATAAGCATTTTAAAACCTGTTTTGTTTGGTCTTGGTAGATATATACCATGTTATTATTTAAGTGGTCTTCACATTTTTATGACTAGTTATTTTTTTTTTTTCAGCCAAAGACAAGGTTTATTAGAACATCCGTCATATTGGGCAGACTCTTAAGGAGTCTGAACATTAGTGAGCTTTTGGCTAGATTTTAAGAATCTGAGTCGTGACTAGATTTTAAGAATCTGAGCACCTTAATGGAGACAAGATGGACCTTATATACAGAAAAACTGTGGGAGGGATCTAGGAGTGGCCAAATAGTCTTGGGTGGGGGGGAATGGACTGTGAGGTAATAGTATGCCAGGGACCTGGACCATGTGGCCAAGGGAGAATGGAGCCTCGATAGGATTAAGGGTGGGAAGTGGACATAGGGAGGTAAGACAATGGAAGGCTAAACTAGGTTAAGGGTAACAGAGAATTGAGAGATTGGGTGTAGCCCCAATGAAAGGCCAGTTGATGAGATTATAGCTTCAGGCAAATGCCAGAGATTTGGCCTTGTGGGAAAGTCCAGGGTTTTTCCTTTCTGGGGTCCAGATCCCATCCTCGTCATTCCTCCCTCAAACAAATGGTACCCAAGTTCTTTTAGGGTAAGGGGCGAAGGTCTTGGCTTCTGAAACTGCTTCCTGCTGGCAAGGGGCGTAGAGCTGTCCCTGCCTCGAGGGTGTCCCAAAGAGGAGGTTGACTGGAACCGAGCACAGACTGCATCCAGGGAGTGATGGGGGGACATTGGCTGGTACCCACTATTTGCTATCAGTTGTAGGTGAATGGCCTGTAGTCTGGAAGACACAAATCTGACAGAGAAGACTGCAGGGCCCAGACATGACAAGATAAAACATCCTTAGCTCTGTTTGGATTCAGATAATTCAGTTTTCCAACCATGCAGTATCAAATCCACCTCATAGCCAAACTCAGAAAAAGCCAGGTGGGTAACATTCCTTTTCACAATGGGGAAACTGAGCCAGGAGGATGCCATCTTAGACTGAGGCTAAAATTGTCCTCTCGCCTTTTCCGATGCTGACTTCCCACCAGTATCACATTATCTGAGTAGCTTGTGGCAATTTCTCTCAGATGGTAGATTATTGATTATTGATGGATTATGATCCATCAGACAACTCAAAATAAAATCCTAGGAGCTTTTACCTCAAACAACAAGTTTCATTAATCACAGCTTAGGAAAAATTTTTTTTCCAGGATTTACATCTCGAACTTAAATTTGTCCTAGTGTAAAAAGCCAATCATTAGAGATTTCTATATACTTGCAAATTCTCAGCAAGCCATATATAACCCAAACAAGCTTTTTGGCTAGTTTACACTTTAAAACAATAACCAACAATAGCCAAATTATTTTAGCGGTAACCAAATTATGAAAAGTTGCTTGACATAACTGATACAAAAGTTTACCAATTTGAAACTTGAAACAAACTCATTACCAATCAGGTGACTTCAATTTTGTTAAATTCATTTCCAAATTACTTTACACAGAGAATCAACATCTCATCATTAACAGTTAACTACATTAACAGTAAAACTATAGCTGCTGTCCCTCCTCCCTCCTTCCTTTCCCCAGGTGGGGGAGGACGAAATCAAAGGTGAGGGGGAAAGGGTGAAACTCTCTTCTCCTATGAGAGGGGTTAACATACCCTCTTGACTCAAGAGAAGGGAGTGACCAGGTTGTACAGAGGTGTTTCAAAACTCCTTAATGATCTATCACAAAACCTCCAGAATCTCCCAAGATGTTTTTAGCTGTTCTAACTTTTGCCTGTAACTTCCATGAAGGAGAATTCAGGAGTGTAGAGGGAAGGCAGTAAGTAAACCTCAGGGAACCAAAAAAGCAACTGCAATTTTCCCCACTTCCCTCTCGCCGAGAGAATTGACAGAATTGGTCATACACTTCCAGATAGGACAAGGGCGGATGTCCTTGTCCTCTATGCTGCGGAAGGTTTCCCCAGGTCCATGGCCTCGAACTGAACCACTGGATGGAGAGCCTGAGAGCATCAGGCCGAGTGCAAGACAGCCTCGTAACTTGGTGTTTGGAGAGCAACCCCAACTTCAGAGCAAGAAGTGGGCGGCGGGAGGCTTACATACCTTCTAGTCTTGGCTGGAGAAGTACTTGGGGTTAGGCAGTTTTCCCGCATGGTCCATCAAAATGATGAGGTTTAGGAGTTTGGGGTGCTGGGATCCCAAAATCACAACACGTGGGTCCTGCCTGAAAGAATTTGACCCAAGCCTTCTTTCAGCCAAAGACAAGGTTTATTAGAACATCCATCATATTAGGCAGACTCTTAAGAAGTCTGAACATTAGTGAGCTATTGGCTAGATTTTAAGAATCTGAGCCATGACTAGTTATTCTTTTTTTTTGACTAGGCAGTGGGGTTAAGTGACTTGCCCAGGGTCACACAGCTAGTAAGTGTTATGTGTCTGAGGCCAGATTTGAACTCAGGTCCTCCTGACTCTAGGGCCAGTGCTCTATCCACTGCACCCCCTAACTGCCCCCATGACTAGTTATTTTAAAAATATTTCAAACATATCAGTTAAGATACATTTGGGTCATACATTTTACAAAGTAAAGATAGGGACTGAACAAGTTAAAACCTTTGTGCTGCACAACTTGGTAATAAAGTTAAAATGTGTGAGTCTATATAATTCAGGTAGTTAAGCTAGCCATTTTCACACTAGCTAAGCAGAGCACCAAGGTGGCTTGTGGAAGAAGGGTAAGGTTGAAGAATGAAATAATCACATGAGGATTTTACATTTTTCCTGTGTGTGAGCTGTCAGTAGAAAAATCGAATGCAGCTTTTTAAAGACTATTATGTTTAACATACATGGAATGGTGACCATGCTTTAAAAGAGTGGCTTGGAGTGATTATGGAAGTAAGCTAGACTTTGTTAACTTTAACTTTGATAAGCTTTAAAGCCCCTGTAGGCAAAGTGTTCCTGTTGGGAAGGAAATATATCAAGACAAAAATCAGTAGAGAGAAAATGGTCCATTTTCAGTGATATCAGTCTCAATTGAAGCCTTGGAATGAGTTCTGTATTTTGGGTTCTATAATAAAAGTGAAGCATTTGATTAAAAAAAAAAAGTACTTAGTATAGACTTTCAAAAGAGTCTTCCTGAGACCATGTCATGACTTTCACTTTCTATAGAAAGTTACTCTAATGGGGAGGAGGGGATGTCAGGCTACAGATCCAGGGAAATGGAGGAAGAGATAGCCTTGTCCTTAAGGACCCCTTAGTCTTCAGGGAGAGATACGCAAAGTCTTTGGCATGAGTGGAAGAAGGTCAATATTCTTCTAGAACTGAGACCTAGAAAAGAAGAGAGGATATGACTAGCAACTAGGCAGGCAAAATGTCAGACTTGGTGACTGGTACCTTGGATAAGTATGGTGAGGGTGGAGAGGAGGCAGCCAGGAGGCATGGAGAATTTGTAGATGAGCAAAGGTAGTTGTGGCCAATCAGGAAAAGCTGCCTGGAGGAGGTGGGTGCTGTGCTTGGTTCTAAAGGAAGAGAAGGGGATGCAGGATGGATAGACCTCACTCTGGCTTGGCCTCTCGGCTTTCCACATTCTAGAGGAAACAATGTTGAAAGAGGAAGTGTGGGGAATTGAGGCCTCCCCTGTACCCCCCTCCAGGCCCAATCCAGCTGCTAGACTGTCTCAGTACCTATAATTCTCAGGGGTTCCTACTTCCTTATTAGGAAAGGAAATAATATTGGACCTGTTTGTCCTCTTCTGAATCTTTCTAGGTCTTGGGGTAGGAGGACCAGTTTCAGATCTTCTCTTTGGAGCCCACAAAGGCAGAGCAGGGGTTTATAGGCCACCCACTTTTTGGAGGGGGAGAAAAGATACAGATTATGGCTGATAAATATGGAAGGATGAAAGAGACCCAGGCCCGTGGTTCTCCAGAAGGGTGGATGCCATCTCGGCTCCTTCTCTGGCACCGGGTGTCTAGTGCTGGGAATAGAGCTTAGTGGAGGTGTCAGACACAGTGAGGGCTGGGTGGCTATGGAGTCTCCCTGGCCAAACCCCTCTTTACCTATCTCTGCTTTTTCCATCCTCTCCCCAGACCACAGACTCTTAGAGAAATCAGACCTGTTGGCCCATTTCACAGAAAAGCTGCCACCTGAGCCTCCCAATGAACTTGTTCACCTCCCTTCACGGTAAGAGAGAGGGTCAAGGGGAGGACAGAGGGACGTAGGGAATGGCATGAGGGAAACACTGTGAGCAAGGGCGTACAGGGCAGGGTTGGCTTTAAAGGAAAGGAATCTTAATGGGCAAGGAGAGCCCATGGCAGTGGAGATGATAATGACCATGGGCAGGGGGTTCGGAGAGTGAGGAGGGAGGCCTGAGGCAAGAGGTTCTAAGGGGAAAGGGGGGCTGGGCATGGTGCCCAACCACAGGCCCATACAATGGTCGCCCTGTGCATTTGCCCTGGTTAATTCTCTTCCTGGCACCTCATTGCCCCAGAGGCCACACCAGCTTCCCTCCTCCCAGGAACAATCAGGCCTTTCTCCCTTGCGCCCCCACCCCCCCAATTCCCCAAGCCAGAGATGACTCTGAGGCCTGGTGCCTGAGACCTTCCACTGGGCTGGTTGTTCCTGTGCCTTCCCCTCCTATTCATTTAGCAGACATTAACTGACTCTCTGCCTCGTGCCAGACGTGCCCAATCCCTCCAGCTGTCTGTGGATCTGTCCCCCTGCCTGTCTTTCTTCCTCCCTCTCTCCCTCCCTGGCTTCTTCAGTCTTTCTTCCTGTCTGTCTTCCTCTCTTCTTCCTTCTGTCTTTTCCCTTCCCTCCTCCTTCCTATGCTTTCTTTGTCCTCCTCCCTCACCCTTGTCAGTCCCTATCCCTCTCTCTTGACTGTCTGTCTTCCTTTCTTCTTTCCTCTTCTCATGGGTTAGATGGGACCTCATATAACAGATTCGGAGCCTGAGGCTCAGGGCCCATAGATAGTAAGAAGCAGAATTCAGGAATCTGAACCAGGGCCTCTGATTCCAAATTCACCACTTCTCTACCATGTTGTCTGTCTCCATCCCTCCTTTCCTCTGTTTGGCTTCCTCTTCCCACCCTCCCAACCTTTTGTTGATTTGAAGGTGGGAGGATATAGGGTTGGGAGGACCAGTTCTGGCCCCTGTGTTTCCAGAAAGGAGCATGGGAGAGATGAGATCATCCAATCCATCACATACTTGTAGGTCTTTAACGACAAGTGAAGGGAGGGTGGGATGCCACATGACCCTCCCAGGCAGGGCAGAGGGGAAGGGAGGGAGAGGGTATAGGGGCCTGGGTCATACTGCAAGTCAGGCTCATACATTCCCTGGGTTAAGTGAGGGAACCCAGGTCACAGATAACCCAAATATTCTTCATTTGACTTTGGCGTGCATGGTTTATACTTCAGTGGGAATGTAGGGGAGTGTGTTTGACATCCTGGGGATTCACCATGTTTCAGAGAAGAGACTAAAGTCAGACAATGAAGCCCCAGCTGAGGAGGGGAGGAGAAGAAAACCTCTCCTTTCCCCCTCCAACTTTCATCTGCATCCTGTTCCCTGGTCTGTGCTGGCTGTGAAAAGTATCACCTCCCAGTCTCAGGGTGCAAAGCACCAGACTGAATATCAGAGCTGCCTCCCTAACTGTAACCTCACTGACTGGCTCACACCTTCCCTAGAGTGTGTAGGGGAGAGAAGGTTGATTTAGGGCATCTTGCCTTCCAGCCTTGGAGGCTACAGACCACAGAGTACAATGGGAGATGAGACCAACCCAGGAGGGATTCAAGCTGTGTGTGTGTGTGTGTGTGTGTGTGTGTGTGTGTGTGTGTGTGTGTGTGTATGTGTCTGTCTGTCCTGTCTGTCTGTCTAATTCAAAGCTTCTCTCTGGCTGACAGGCAGGAGGAGGAGGCAGGGCCAATGCCAGAGCCTACGCAGTCATCCGAGGACCTCAGGAGGAAATGGGAGGAAGAATTGGCTAAGATCAAGTTGGTCTGTGGGGAGGTAGGTTACATGCTTAGAGCTTAGAGATTGGCCACCTTATTTTACAGGTCTGAAAGAATGGAAACAAAGAGGGTGCCCATCAGTTGGGGAATGGCTGAACTAATTACCAATATCAGCGGTAGCTGGTGGTACAGTGAATGGAGTGTGGGCCTGGAATCAGGAAGGACCTGAGTGAGCTTGGAGTTAGGAAGATCTGAGTTCAAATCCAGCATCACACACATTTAACGAGCTGTGTGATCCTGGACAAGACATGTCTTGCCTTAGTTTCCTCAAATATAAATGGGGATAATAATAGCACCTATCTCCCAGGGTTATTGTGAGGATTAAATAAGACATGTGTAGCACACTCAGGGCCTGGCACACAGTAGCTACTATGTAAATGCTTATTTCTTTCCTTCCCAATTATGGTATATGAATGTCTTGGATTTCTGTTGTGCTATAAGAAATGATAAAAGGGATGACTTCAGAGAAACCTAGGAAGACCTGTTTAAACTGATGCAGTATGAAATGAGTAGAACCAGGAGAACAATTTATATAACAACAGTATTGTAAAGACAAATGATTTTGAAAGCCTTGAGCACTCTGATCATCACAGTGACCTACCACAATTCCAGAGACCTGATCAGGAAGCAGTGCTACCCACCTCCTCATAGAGAGGCGATGGACTCGGGCTGAATGAGCCACATTTTCCAGACATTGCTTTTGTTTGAATTTGTTTTGCTTGACTATTCCCATTTTCTACAAGGGCTTTGTTTTTCTTTTTTCTGGGTTGGGATGAGAGGGGAGAGAGAGAGAAAAATGCTTATTAATTGAAAAATGAAATGAAGTAGGAGAAGAAAAGAAAACTGAGGCCTAGAGAGATAAAGGTCCCACACAGAATAAATAGCAGATCCAGGCTTTGAACTTGGCTAGGCTTAGAGCAAGTAGGTAGTGCCACAGTGCACACAGTACTGGGCCTGCTATCAAGAAGACCTGAGTTCAAATTTAGCCTCAGACACTTATTAGCAGTGTAACTCTGGGCAGGTCACTTCACCTCTGTCTGCCTCCATTTCCCCAACTGTAAAATGGGGATAATAATAGCACCTACTTTCTAGGTTGTAATGAGGATCAAATGAGATATTTGTAAAATCCTTGTTGACTCTGTATCTTGAGGAGGGGGAGGGAGAGTTGAAAGGACCTGAGTTCAAGGGAAGGGAGGAAACAAACATTTATTAAGTGCCTACTGTGTGCCAGGTGTTCTGCTAAGCTCTGGATAAAAGAAAGGCAAAAACATAGTCCCCTGCTCTCAAGGAGCTAGGTGGCACACTGGACAGAGTACTGGGCCTGGAGTCAGGAAGATCTAAGTTCAAATTCAGCCTCAGACACTTACTAGCTTTATGGCCTAGAACAAGTCACTTAACCGCTATTTGCCTCAGTTTCCTTATCTGAAAAATGAAGATAATAAAAATGAGGATAATAGAAATACCTTCCAGAGTTGTTGTGTGGATTAATTGAAATAATGTTTGTAATGCACTTAGCACAGTGCTTGGTGCATAGTAGGTGCCATAAAAGTGTTGATGATGATGATGATGATGATGGAGCTTATATCCTAATGGAGGACATACATACAAATAACTGTGTCTGTACAAGATACATACAGTGTAAACAGAAGATAATCTAGGGGCGGTGGGGGGTTAGGATATGCCTCCCAGTGCTGGGGGGGGCTTGTGTCTGGAAGGGGGAAGGCCCTCAGTCTTCAGAGAATGAATAGGTGTGTGGAGCCCAGCCACAGAGCAAGAAGAAATGGGCTCAGACCTTCAAGACTGAGCCCACTCCTAGGAATCGTTTACATTCCCAATTTGTCTTGTCCCTGTCTGCAGATGGCATACCAAGTTGTGGAGAAGCATATGACCCTGAGCTCCCAGGATGCTATGCTGGAGGACCAGCAGGGCAGGTGAGAGACCCAGAGATCTCCTGAGCATACCCGCCGCTTGATGTGAAATATTGGGCTCCCAGGGATGCCCTGTTTTCATGCAGTTCATAGGGATAGCAGACCTGTCCCTTCCCTGATAATTCCCCTGATAATATGGTAGTTTGTCTCTGGAGCAGTCCTCCTTAAAGACTTACACTGTGAAAGAGGCTTTGGGGTCTTCTGTGGAAGCTCCCCATCTCAACAGGGAGAGAGTGGGGAAGGGGGACGTGGTCCTTGGGCCTATCTTGTTCCCCGTCCCCCACCCACTGCAGGCTGTCAGCTCTGGATGCCCGGGTGCGTGAATTGGAAGAGACACGGCAGTGGCTGGCAGAGCAGGTGGATGGGCAGCAGGACAGGATCGTGGAGGGGAAGGAAGCTTATGACACCCTGTGGGCCCACACTGGCCACCAGGAAGGGGCCTTGAGACAGCTGGAGGAGGAAGGCCGTGAGCTAGTGGAGAGGCTGATCCAAGTGAAGATGCAAGCAGCCGAGGACCAGAATTATCGCAATGAGCGGATCGAGAGGTGAAGCCCTAGGGAGAACCCCTGTCCTCAGCAAGTCTCTGGTCTGAGGGAAGAGGCAGCGGCCTCTCCCTCCCGAGCCCCAGGCGGAGGGGAGACACATGTCCCAGGCCTGGGGGGGAGGGACAGAGATGGCTACTATAGAATTCATACTCCTTTGTTTGCAGGGTCAAGCAAGCCAGGGTTTCCAAGGAGCTGAAGAAGGCAATGAGGAGGACGGTCAACATCTCTGAGTAAGTAGGAGACGGGGAAGTTGTCTTCTGGAATCTGCAGTGCCAGATCTTAGGACACAGGATGTTGGGGTGGGAAGGGGCCTTAGAGGCCATCTAGCTTAACACTCTTATTTTACAGAAAAAGAAACTGAGGCCCAGAAGGGGACGGGCAGGCAACACAGACAAAGCTAGTAGCCATCCTTGGGGGACAGATATGGATCAGATGAATAAACAGGGCCTATCTGTGCAGGAAAGAGCCCAGGCATGAAGACCCCTAGAGACCTCCACCCCTGTCAGCCCTGTGCGGAGCTTCTGGGGCATTCTAAGCTCCTCTACTTCTCTTTCCTTAGGACCCTGGACCCTCCAAGCATTGCTGAGCCCCGTGCCGACAAGCAGGAGCTCTTGGAAGTAGAAGCCTATGAGAAACAGTGGAAACGCCCCTTCAGGTAAGTAGGGCCAGAGAGGGGCTATGTAGACAAGGTGATACAGCCCGAGAGGCCTTCTGATCCCTGGGCCACCTGGATCCTGACCGCCACAAGTGAACTCCCTGGCCCTCTTCTCTTTGGCTCTGACCTCAGGGATGGGTCTCCCCCAGCCCTACCCCACCACTTTGGCCAGGGACGCAGGGATGTGGTGGCTTCGCCAACTAACTGGAATTGAAAAAAAAAAAACAAAAAGGTTCTACAGGGCCTCTTCTGGGCAGGCCCGAGTCGTGATTGCAACCACATTTTTGTCTGACAAATATTCTGTGGGTGGGGAGAAGGAAGCACAGTGAGACTGCGTCTCGTCTTCCCAGGAAGGGTTGGGTTTTCTCAGCTCATAAGATTATAGGATTTAGATTTAAGGCTGGAAGGGACCTTTGAGTCTAACTGCCTCATATTACAGAAGAGGAAACTGAGGCTCAAAAGAGGGCATGAGGATTTACTCAAGGTCACATCAGCAGAGCCAAAAGTTTAACTTGGGCTTTCTGATGCCAAGTTCAGTTATGCTCATCCTCTTCCTTTCCCCTGGCTTGGAGGCACACCTATCCTCAGGTGAGGTCTCCTTGTTACATGGCCCTTACCAGGGTTGGGGGGGGGAGTGTCCAGATCTTCCTGATCAAAGGATCCAGGGCCAGAAGGGCCCTTAAAGGTCATCAGGTCCAACTGCTCATTTTCCAGATAAGGAAACTGAGGCTGAGAGAGCTTCTTAGGACTTCCAGGGCTCCCTCTGTGACTTCCAATTGAAGCAGTATTACCATCGAGGCTGCCTTGATTGAATTCCAGACTCTCAGAACTGGCCAGGGGCCTCAGAGGCCTCTGGTTCAACTCGGACCGGACCAGGAGGGCCCTGTACATACAATCTAATCAACCAGCGGCCATCCGGCCCCTACTTGAACATATCAAGGGATATGGAGCACCCTCTCCCCTCAGGGCTCTTCCACGTTGGGGCAGCTCAGATTGACGGAAAGTCTTTGTTGGCATCCAGTCTAAACAGGCCCCTTTGCTACTTCTGCTTTTGCTCTGACTTCTGTCCTCTGGGGCCAAACAAAATAAGCCTCACCTCAAATTTTCTACAGGACAACTTCTCATGTACTTGAAGCCAGTCATCACGCCCCGACTTCTGCCTTCTTTTCTCTAGGTTAAACAACCCCATTTCCTTTATGCATTGGAGGCCTTCAGCCTTCCTCTGGCCACTGTGCAGCTCATCAAGCCTCCATACCGTCCTCCAGCTCTCTAACTGTTGGCCCAAGCCTGTGGTCTCTGCTCCCGGTGGATTGCCTGAGTGCCGGAGTTCTGGGCTGCAATAGTGTTAAAGCTGTTTGGGCGCCTGCACCAAGGCTGCCTCCAGCATGGTGAACTTCCATGGGGGGCTGGGGGGAAGGGCCACCCTCCGGGCTGCCAGTTGGTGTTGGAATGGGCCTGTGAGGGGGTGTTAGACTTCCATCCTGGGCAAGATAGGAAGACCCAGTCTCAAAAATATACAAACAAACAAAAAGCAAAGAGATCTGATTTATCCCTTCAGTGAAGAACGTTTCTTAACACTGTATTGTATGTCTGTGCACTGTACTATATGTACTCTGTGTCACTGTAGAGCTAAGGTGTCACTTCCTACAAGGGAGTCATTGGCAGGTAGGAGTTGGAGTCTGTAGAGTCCATCTGCCATCAGTGAACAAGCATTTAAGCACCTACTGTGTGCCAGGCATTGTGCTAAGTCCCGGGGATACAAATAAAACCAAAAAAAAAAAAATGAAGATCCAGGTTGCCTGTAAAGTCCCCTCCAATTCTGTGAGATAGTGCCAGAAAATAACCATGAATCAGTTTGTTGCTAGACCGCCACTTTTTGCCGAGATGCTGAGTAACTTACTGTTGTAGTAGGAATGCTTAGCATTAGGGAGTAATTTATAGGTGAGCTTTGGGCTGGGAGATCTCCAATGTCCCCTCCCAGCTCTGATACCATCATAAAGTACCAAGGAGATTTGATCCTTAAAATAATGCTGTAAAGTAATAATAATAATAATAACTGAAGTATAATGCCTACTGTGTACTAGGCACTGTGCTAAGCACTTTACAATTATTATCTCATTTGATCCTCTCAACAAACCTGGGAGGCAGGTGCTATTATTATCTAGCCCACTTTACAGTTGAGAAAACTGAGGCATGTAGAGTGAGGCGACTTGCCCAGGGTCATACAGCTGGCTAAGTGTGTGAGGCTAGATTTGAACTCAGCTCTTCCTGACTCCAGATTCATTAGTGCTCCATCCACTGGGCCACCTAACTTGTTAGCAAGCAGTAACTTCCTATACCTAGTGCCAGTGGGACACTGAGGCCCTGGAAGCATCTTTGGGTGGGAAGCTTGTTCCAAGCTCCTTTCCTGCTTCCCTTGGCAATCTGAAGTGCGATTCTAGGTGGTGAGAGCTGGAAGGCTCTCAGAGGGCATCTGGTCCAAGTTCTTGCTAGCATCCTTGATGCAAGTCTTTGCTCAAACATCTCCAGCAAAGGGAAGCTCATTCCCTGTTGAGGCGGCCTCTCCCAAGGTGGGACAGCTCAGGCTCTTAGGAGTTTTTTTCTTATTTTGAAAGAAAATTTGCCTACCTGTGACTCCTCCCCATGATCCTGGTTTTGCCCTCTGTGGTCAAACTGAACAGATTTTTGCCTTCTGCCTCAGGGTGGCCTTTCAGGTACTGGAAGACAGGAATCATGGCACCTCCCCCAAGTCTTCTTGGGAATGACAACATCTAGTGTTGCTGCCTCTGCCCCCATTCTCCTGTTCACTCCTTGACCTTCCTGGCCTCCTTACTCTGGCCTTGTGGACAGTGCAGAGCCAGGGCTCAGAGGGTGGGTGAAGAAATGGCCTAGGGCATGATTCTTCTGGCAGAAGTGAGGTCTGAAGGACTTCTCCCTTCTCATTGCCTGGGGTCCAGTGACCTCATCTGTTCCCAGCAGCCCCGATCTTCCTGATGGTTTTCTCTCTCGTTGTCTGGTTCTGCCCCCAGGTCGGCCTCCGCCACGTCCGTGACCCTGGCCCGCTGTATGGATGTTATGAAGGGGCTGCTGGAGTAAGTGGGAGTGAGGAGAGCATGGGGGACGCATGACCCCTCAGCTTTCCTGGGGTGAGACCAGAGGCTCCTGAACGACTCATCTTGATTCACTGCCCCCCCCAGCCCTCCCTTTTCTCCCCCATGGCCATCCCCCTCAGCTCCTACATTCTATCCATTGCATTCTCTTACTTCTTCAGGGTTTCCCCATTTCTTCTCATGTCCCCTCCAGTGTTTCTCCCATTCTCATTCTTCTCTTTGCAATGTCCCACGTGTCTTGTTTTCTCCTCCAAGGATTCACTGCATTCCTGTTACCCTCCTTTCCTCTTCTCACCCATTCTTGTCCCTGTCCTCTCCAATGTCTCCCCATATTCCCATTCTTCTGGTACCCCCTTCCTGCAGCGTTTGCCTTCTCATTATCTTCCTTGTCCTGAGGGAGCCTCTGGTCTGCCTCTCCTGAGTTTCTTTGGCGGGAGTGAGGGGACAGGACAGGTAAGGCAGCGTAGGGGCCATGGTGGCTATTAGTCCTTCCAAGCCAGACCAAGCTGGAAGTTCCCTGGATCTCTGAAGATCCCACCCTGCCTCTTGTCTGTTCTCCGAGGGCACTTTCTAGAGGCTGGCCCTTTGGCTCAGCCTCCTGTCTTTGGCCTGGGAGCTGACTGGGGGGTAAGGAACAGACTGCCAGCCTCCTAGAGGAGGGGGACCGAGTTGAGAGCAGGGAGGTGCTGAAGTTCTGCTGGGCTCGCTTATGGGTGCTTTCTGTGTGTCTGCCTGTCTACATTGCCCCTGGGCTCATCTGGAATGAGGGCTCCGAGAGGGGGTCCTGTCCCTCCCCTGAGGGTGCCTCTTTGGGAGGCAGCCCTGTCTGGGCCCTGACTCCAGGATTCAGTGCTGGAGGATCAAGCCAGGCTCGTGTTTCTGGAGAGCCCTCAGGGCTCAGGTGAGGAGGCTGCAAAGAAGGCATCTACTCATTTTACCGGTGGATGAGAACTATCAGGGCCGTATCTCACAGCAAGGGGCTTTTTAAACCTTGTCCTTCCAAAACTTTCCTTTTGAGTTTGATGAACTTGCCAAACATCAACGAACAGGAACATTTCCCTATGCAAAGAAGAACCGAAAAAAAGGGTTGCATATGGAACCATGAATCTCAATTCCGTCTGGCTTGTTTCTTTTTACAGTCTCCAGTAGATGCTTCCCTGCTTGTCTGTGTCTCCTTCTGAACGTCTGCCTTCCTTTGTGGCCAGAACTTCATCCACCACCCCATGCTTCTCCCTGCCAAGGATGCCTCATGTCTGCCCAGGGCCTTACTCTTCCCCAATGCTCCCTTCTTCTTGTTTGAGCCTCCCCATTCTATAGATGAGGAAAGTGAAGGCTAGATAAGTGAAGAGAGACTTTCTTTTCTATTTTTTTTTGGTTTTAAGGCAATTGGGGTTAAGTGACTTGCCCAGGGTCACACAGCTAGTAAGTGTCAAGTGTTTGGTCTGAGGCTGGATTTGAACTCAGGTCCTCCTGACTTCAGGGCCGGTGCTCTACCCACTGCACCACCTAGCTGCCCCAAGAGAGACTTTCTTAAGGCCAGGCCTGGAATTCCGGCATCTAGATTCCCCAGGCTTAGTCAGGATACCAAATGGACTCTGTAATACTCCATTTTTCCTTTAGCAGAATGGGTAGATCCCACTCACAGAAGGCTCTAAGCTGTCCAGTGAATCCCAGGCACCATGTTCTTCTCTTCTAGAGCCTGCTTTACTTTTCTCCCCTGACCCTGCCCTGGGAGGATTTCAGCTGTTCTCTGTTTTTCCTGCTTGCCCTTGGCCTACCACGCACCAGCTATCACCTCCCTGGGCCTCTGTGACCCCAGCCTCTGATCCAGGCCCAGGTGATGGGGAGGGAGCCTCTTGGAGGAATTGTCACTGACTCTCACCACATCCACTCAGTTTTAGGAAGAGAAGGGGTCACTCCGTGAGTGGGGCCCCTGAAGCCCGATATCCAAGCATTCCTGTCTGTGGGGTCTCCTGTCTCCCAGCCAGAGCCCAGGACATCCAGGTGAGATAGAGGGGCTCAGCTATAAAGGGACTAAGGGGGAGGATGGACACAGAGCAGGTGTGTGTGTGGGTGCATGTGTTTATGTATTCACACACACATGCATATTTAAGAAAGACATGGAGAGATCCTGGGACAAGTGGATTGCTATGGAAGACATAATTCTGGTTAGGCTAGGTGGGTACATATGAAAGCTAGGGAGGTCCCTAGACAATAAAGAAAGCATAGTCATACTTGGAAAAGTACTGACACTTGGAGATAGATGTGTGTGGGATACAAGTTGAAAACTTTAGAGGTTGAGGAAAATGGAGAGGTGGTGAATGGGCCACAGCTGTGTGAGGAATGATCTGGTTAGTCATGGAGACCTGGGGAGACAAGGGGAGCCTGGGTTCTTGCTGTGAGGGAGGGCATTAAACCCTTTCTGCTTCCCCCCAGGAGGCCCACCGTTCTGAGGTCAATGCCGTCTGCTTCAGTTCCAACAGCAGCCTCGTGGCCACAGGCGGGGCTGACCGCCTCATCCGCCTCTGGAATGTGGTTGGAGGTGAGTGGCAATCATGCCTTTCCCCCTAGGATTTCACCGAGGGCTGTTTTTTCCTGTTAAGGGCCATGGAGCGGGGATGAGTGTCCTGGCTCTGCATTTGAATTCTCTCCTGGCATTCCCCATACCCATTTCCAGTTTCACAAATGACAGAAAGGTTTTACCACCTCATTTACGGGACAGTAATACTGACCTTTGGGGGTGAGATAGGTGGGTGTGGTTGGGGGATTCCTGGAACCTCGTTAGGTGGGACCTGAGCCACTTTGAGTCCAACCTGTTTTATAGGCAAGGGAACAGAAACTCAGAATGGGGAAGAGACTCACAGCTACCCAGTGGAAGAGCTGGGCTGAGAACCGAGGGCTCAGCCTCTGGGCTGTGGTCTTTCTGTGCTGAATCCCACTCTGAGCCCCTAGTGGGATCCACCCTCCCGCTGCACTTTGAGAACCCAAATCATCAGCCATCGGTGGTACCTGTAGAAAAAAGCGCTAGATCTGAAGACATGGATTCAAGTCCTGACGTGAATCCTTATTAGCTATGCAACCTTGGTCAAATCACTTTCTGAGTCTCTGTTTCCTCAGTAAAAATGGGGCTAATGCTGCATGCATTATCGGTTTCATAGGGAGTAGACATTACTGCCTTTTTCTCTCATCCGCCAGGCCGCCTGGAAGCTGATCAGATGTTGGAAGGGGCTGGTGGGAGCGTGACCAGCCTTGAGTTTGAACCATCGGTAGGTTCGGACGAGGGAAAGGCAGAGGGGCCCCTGGGCTGTTCCTGGCTGTGGGGGCGGGTGGGTTTGGTGGGATTGTCTTTTTTTGCCCATCTCTCTCCTTGAAGCAGTGCTAGGTTCTGCCCTGAGTAGGTGCTCAGTACACAGGGGTTGAATTGAATTGTGTGTCCTTGAGCATGTGACTTCCCCTGCCTAAGACGGTTTCCTCGTCTGTAAAATGTGAGATAAGCCCCAGCCTTTGCACCCTCCTTCATGCTGGGACAAGGGGGACCAGAGCCAGGCTGGGGACCCAGGAGCTTGTCAACAACATCTTATTAAGCGTCTGTTGGGGGGACAGAGCCCTGCCTGTGGTCCATGCTGGGATCGAGTTTAGAAAAGACACAATCCCTCCCTGCAAGGGACTCACAGGCAGGATAGGAGATGTACCTAAATGATAATAAACAATGACGATACCAGGACCTATGTGATGGAGCAGACAAAAGAGGGAGTCGGACCTTGGACCCTTGGCACGTCCGTGGAGGGACAGGGACAGGCCCTTTGCTGGGAATCCAGGGAAGGCTTCTTGGAAGAAGTGGCCCTTCCATAGGCCCACTGAAGAATGAGAAGGCATCTGAAAGGAGATAACCCTGGAATAGGCCTTAGCCAGTGCCCCTGAGGGACCCAAGAAGGCAGGAGGAGAGAGGAATGATGATGTTAGTAACAGCACACCTTTGGATGGTGCTTTAAGGTTTGCCATCGGCTTTCCTGACATTATGTCACTGGAGTCTCATATCAACCCTCCAAGGTAGGTGCTATTATCCCCTTTCTATAGATGAGGCGACTGAGGTCCCATTTTACAGATGAGGAAACAGGCTGAGACAGTAATAATGGTAGTGATAATAGTAACTAACAGAGTGATTAAGGTTGGCAATGATCTTCGCAATGGCCTTGTGAAGGAGGTGCTCTTATGCCTTGTCTGTAAAATGGGGAAACTGAGGCTGAGAGAGGCCACAATCACTTGCCCAGGGTCACGCAGCTAGTAAGTGTCTGAGGCAGAATGGAAACTTGGGTCTTCCCAGCACAAGAGTCCAGTGCTTTCTCCCCTGTGCCACCTGTCTACTGTGCTGGGCTGCTTCTAAAGAGGGAATGTGCAAATGGATCTGTGCTCTCATGGATTCAGGAGCTCCTCCAGCACTGCAGGTCAACACCCATCCATGCTTGCCCCTCCTATGGATCCACTTGACATACTAGAGGCCTTCCCTGCTTTGGCGCCATTGCGGGAAGGGGTTTCCACCTGTCTTCCCTTGCTCTTGTCACATGAACAGTCCATCTTTTCCGATTGTACCATTCTTTGATGACATCTTTTGACCTCTGTTCCTTCTCAGAGTTCCTTATTGGTTCTTTGTTCCAGCCTGTTCTCACCCTTTTCCCCAGTGCCCCTCTAGCCATTACCCTCTGTAATATTCATTTTTAGTTCTTCAGAGACAATATTGTCTACCTCTTAACTGCAATATAGCAACACTGATAAAACTGTGTTTTGTTTTGTTTTTTAGAAGATGGACTTTTGCTTTTATAGAAGCTTTGGGTCAGTAAAAGTGCTTTGCAGTTTTCCAAAAGCAAGCCAGCCCACTCTCCTCCTTTTCAACCCAATTCATTGTCCATCTTTATTTTTCCAGACGTACATACTTTTGGACAAATTCTATAAACTGTTCATTTAGATGCATGTTGAAATCTGGGCAATCGGCTTTCTTCATCCATTTGGTTTTTCCTGTGTGGATGGTCAGGCCAAACTTCTTTGAGTGATTACAGATCTCTTCAAGAATCTCTGAAAAGTTTTGGTGTTTGATGCCATTGGCAGGATGTTTTCCACAAATAGGAACATCTAGAAGACCTTGTTATCCACAGGGAATCCCTCTTCAACACAGATTCCCTGCTGCATGTCTTCCATCACAGTAGAAAAAACCTTTGGCGAGCACACATCTCCCTGTTTTATGCCTTGCCTGATGTTTATTACTAATGGGTTATTAATCAGGGTTGTTTCTGTCATTACATCTTCCAAGAAATCCTGAATAATCTTCATGTGTGGATGGGTCCCATCTTGTTGGTCAGTCAGTAAACATTTATTAAGGGCCAATAGTCCGCCAGCCACTGCGCTAAGTGCTGGAAATACAAAGAAAGGCAAAAACCAGTCCCTGCCCTCAAGGAGCTCACAATCTAATGGGGGAGACAACATGCACACAGCTGTGTTCGGGAAAAGACCCTGAAGACTGCTGCATTTTGTCCTGCGCAGCTGGATGTGGGTTTTGGGGATGGGGAGGGGAGGGAGGGAGGAATCAATAAACACGTGGGATCTTATATTATACAGTGGGATCTTATATTCTCTACATCTTTCAGTCAGTTGTGAGATGCTAAAGATGTGGTCCATTGTTGAATATTGCTTCCAAAAGCCTGCTTCTTCCCTATGCATATTCGCAACAACAGGGGCCTCACTCACAAAGGTGGATGTAGTTGGGGGAATAGGCATATGGGTCAGGAGTTTTCTTTCAGTCCCCTTTTTGGTCATTAATAAGGTTTGAGATCCCTTCCTCCACACACACACACACACACACACACACACACCCTTTGGTGTCTTCACCTCCTTCACATACCTTGTATCTTGGTCTCCCAATGCCCTCACAAGGGTATCACCTGAGATCTCCATTCTCTCTGTCTTTTTTTTCCTTTTTTTTTTTTGTTGTTGCCATTTCTATTTCTTTTGTAAGTGCCTCAGGGACTTTGATGTTAGTGTTCAAGTGTGGTTTCACTCTCCTTGTTGGAACCAAAAGTTTGCCCAAATGATTTTTGTAAAATATTGCTGTCTTTCTTCTGGGTTCAGTCCACCTTTCCTTATCATCCTTTTGGGTCCTTGGGATGACTTTGCTCCACTGGACAGTTTTCCAAGCTCTCTTTAAACTGGTTTTATCCTTCACCTCTCCTCCTCTTAATTATCCGTCATCGTTCTTCCTAAGGTCTTACAGATGAGTTGAGATTCTAACCCAGTATTGCCTTCGGCAACAATGTCTCTCTGTTTGCCAGTTAAGTCAGATGCTTCCTGACTGAAGGGCTTTCTGGGCTCTTGAAGCTATTCATTTGCATTATTTGACTTCTGGATAAAATTGGTATAATTGGTATCCGTGTCACTTGTGTTGTTCATTTCTCATTTTTTATTTTTCCATAGCTTTTTCAAGTAATTCATGGTTAATTGTATGCTGTGTTCCTTACTCATTAGTAATCTTTCTTCCTGTTTGTCATAAATTCTGATATTAGCTCACACTGAACTGTTGGCACTTAGTTCACTAAGCAGACAACATATGGAAGGGAGAAGTGTGAAAAGAGACTGGGAAATTAGGTAGGAGCCAGACTGTTGAAGGCCCCGATGCCAGGTGTTTCTGCTCTGTTCAGTAGGCAATGGGGAGCTCTTCAAGGCTTTTGAGCAGAGGAGTGACCCTCTGGCAGCATGTGGAGCATGTACTGGAGGAGGAAGAGACCAGAGGCCTTGAGAGCAGTGAGGAGGTTATTCATGGTAGTGATCAGGGCCCTCACGCCAGCCATCTCCATCCTTTCCCTCAGGGCTGCTATTTGCTAGCAGCGACTTACAACAAAGCTGCCCAGCTCTGGAAGGTGGGCGAGAGCCAATCCAAGGTGAGACGGCTGCGGGGCCGGCAGGGGCTGGGGCTGGGGATGTGGCGGTGGAAAGAAGCATTCATTGGGTGCTTCCAATTTACACCCTGGATGCATGGGGTCATTGGTGCAGGAAACATTGTCTGGGCACACGGACAAAGTGACTGCAGCCAAATTCAAGCTGACCCGGCAGCAGGCAGTGACTGGAAGCCGGGACCGGACTGTGAAAGAGTGGGACCTCAACAAGGCGTCCTGTAAGCCCCCCAACTTTTCTGTCTTCTCTGACCCCCTGACCCACCTCTACCCCTTCCACACTTCATGGTCCAAATCCCTTCCTGCTCCTTCAGGGCTCCCCAGACCCCAGGGTGGTCCTCCTTCAGTGTCTGAGGTCATTGAGACCCCCAAATAACCTCAATTCCTATTTCCCAATTCCTCCTGTCCCTAGTCATCCCCTCAGTTTTTCTCCTAATTCTGCTCCCTCCCATCCATCCCCTGATACCTCTGGTCCCTCTTGACCTTTCTCTCATTGCCCCACCCAAACCTTCTGTATTTTAGGAGTGTGGGAAGGCCACTGAGTTCAGGCTGGGAGCCCCCATGGTTAGCCCAGTGGCCCTAGAGCACTGCCCCTCCTCCCTTACTCCCTGCTCCCTCCTTGGCTAGGGTTTAGGGTCTGTTCATCCCTCAAGTAGGGGCTGGGGAGGGAAACCAAGCAACTAGCAAAGGGGACCTGGCAAAGTACCCGGGGATTTCATTTTAGGGGCAGTTTGCTCAGAGGACCTGGGTTCGAACCCAAGTCTCACTACCTGCTGGCTGTGCTACTTTGGCATATCACTCTGGGCTTGCATCACTGTCCTCATCTGTAAAAAGAGGGGGCTGCACGAGATCTCTGACGGCCCTTCTGCCCCAGTACTTTGTATCTATAAGTGATTTCATGGCCCCCTGAGATCTTCATCACACACCCCACCACTCCCCTCCCCCACACCCATGTGGCATGTTGGACATCAACAGGCTGAGGGGCCAATGTCACTGGCCTACTGGGGTCCCTTCTGGAGGTTCTGGGCCCTGTGGCATTCACCCTGTGGCCCCTCAACCCCCAGGCTCGCGAACTATCGACGGTCTCTCCTACTGCAACGACGTGGTATGTGGAGACCACCTCATCATCAGTGGTCACAATGACCAGAAGATTCGTTTCTGGGACAGCAGGTGATAGAAACCTAGTAGGGAGCCTAAAAGAAATTGGGCGGCGGGCTGGGAAGGAATTTTCCAGGTTGCCTTCCTTATTTATTGTCAGCCAGTCAAGAAGTATCTGTGAAATGTCTCCTGTGTACAGGGGCCAGGGGGATCCTACCCTGGTGTGAAGGGATGGTACAGTCTCTGCCCCTTGAATGTGATTCATTTAATTTCATTAGATTAGGTCACTCAGTTGACTTTTTAAAGAATACATGTCAAAAGTAGGAATCTTTATTAAAACAAATAAATGGAACTTTTATTGTTAAACACCATTTCAAAGCAAAAACAGTTCTAGAATAAGGTTTAAAGAAAACAAATTGCTACCTTTCTCATTTCTATTCAATTATTATTGTCCTTTATATTTTCCTTTTTATCCCTTTATGACTATAATGAGAAAAACATGTAATTCCTTCCTTTACTTTGATGTTGGAAACTCCCTGGCCTGCTCACCCCACCAGTTTCTGGTGTTAAAAGGCCTCGGAGGCCCAGTGAGGGCTGCTCAGCTATTGTGAGTCAGAAAGGTCCCGGGAAGACAAGGGATAGGATCCCAGCACCTAACGTTGCATACTGGCAGGAACCGTTCCTGTGGCTGCCTCACCCCCTGGCCTGGGATCTCTTCCATTTCTTAGACATTCTCTAGTGGGACCCTCTCTGAAGCCCAATTTTTAGGCTTCCTAGAGTCAGCTAGGTGCTGTGGGCCTGGATTCAGGAAGACCTGGGTTCAAATCCAGCCTCAGACACTTAGAAGCTGTGTTACCCTGGGCAAGTCATTTAATCTCTCTTTGCCTCACTTTCCTCAACTGTAAAATAGGAAGGCACCTACCTTTCAAGATTGTTGTGAGGATCAAATGAAATAATATTTATAAAATATTTGGCATAGTGCCTGACACACAGTAGGTGGTTAATAAATGATTGTTTCAATCCTTCTATCTTTCTATGGGGCAGAAGCATAGAGAGGAAGATCAGGGTCACCTAGGGTTAGCTCCATGTTTGCCATCATGAAAGCTAGCACATTCACCCCTTCCACTAACCTTACTTCTGCCCATTATTTTGAGTTTGCATCAAATGGTCCCTCAGTAACCAACATTCACTAACATATAACCTTGGTTTAAGTGGGAAATTAAGACAACTTAAGAGTTTTTTAAGTTTTTTTTTTTCTTTCCAATTAACAAGCATTTATTTTCTCTCCCTTATTTCACCCCAGGAAAAAAGAAAAGTAAAAGTAAAACCCTTGAAACATAGTTTCAAATAGGCATAGTCAAGCAAAACAAATTCCTGCATTGGCCATGTCTAAAAAAATTAGATGTCTTCTTCTGCACTAGGAGTCCATCCCTACTCTGTTAGGAGACGGGACCAGAGTTCGTTATCAGGCCTCTGGAACCATGATTGCTCATTGAATCGATCCAGGTTCTTAAGTGTCTGTTTTTACAGTGCTATGGTCTAAATTGTTCCGATTCTTTTCACTTCTCTCTGTATCACCTGATACAAGTCTTCCCAGGTGTTCCTGAAACCCTCCTTTTCATCATGTTAGGGTTCAGTAGGACTTTATTACATTCATATACCATGACTGGCTCAACCATTACCCAACTGATGGGCACCCCTTTAGTTTCAGCTTAGAGTTAGAAAATCAGGTCATAAGAAAAGACATTCACAGCAGAGTATGATGTCTATGTTTTAAGAAGGACATGGATAAGTTGGAGTGTGTCCACAAAAAGGTGACTAGGATGGTGAACAGACCAGGATTGAAGGGACTGGGAATGTTTAGCATGGAGAAATGCAGGAGAGTGAGTGTGTGAGTGTGTGTGTGTGTGTGTGTGTGTTTACAGAGGAGAGTTTTTTGACTTTCCCCTGGTCCTGTGCCCTTCCAGGGTCCCACGATGCATACAGGTTATTCCTGTGGAGGGGAAGGTCACCTCTCTCAGCATCAGCAATGATCAGATGCACCTCCTCAGCTGCTCCCGGGATGACGCCCTTAAGGTCATTGATCTTCGGGTCAACAACATCCGCCAGGTCTTCAGGTGAGGGAGGGCATGGTGATGGGAGCTCCCACCCCATCTCTCCCTTATTCCACTCCCCCTCTGGCAGAACTAATATTCTTCTGGAGATTCCTACTGGATGGGGAATGGAGAGGGCATAGGCCCAGGGGTTTCCATCCTTTCCCACCTTTTTTTTTTTTTTTAAGGAAGAATATAAAACTATTTATTGACCACTGTTCACCAGTATTTACAACAAAGTAAACAGTATACAGTTGTATAACATTCTAATGGCTACAAAGTTATTTTTTTTGCCCAACTCCTGTGGAGTCAAGTGACCCAAATACTCGAAAGGCTGGTTCTATGTATTGAAGGGATGGGTTGGGATAAAGAGGGAAAAACATGCACGTCAAGAGTATAGAGGCCTACATAACATGGCTATGTCTGCTTCCCCATTTATGCCCATAGTTAGGAAAACACAACCCCCCCCCAAATGCCTTCCCTTTGGGCAGAATATTTATGTTCCAGCAGACGGGGATGTTACTACATGATTGAGAGAGGACCCTTTGGTTAGTAAAATAAGATCTTTCCCACCTTCTTCCACCTCTCCTGTTTCCTCAGGGCTGATGGCTTCAAGTGTGGTTCAGACTGGACCAAAGCTGTGTTCAGGTGAGTATGTCCCAAAGTCCCTGCTGCTTCCTTTAGAATTCTCTCCACTCCCCAAGTTCTCTCCCCCAGGAATTCTCTCCCATCCTTTTCTAAAATGCCTTGAGCCCCCTGTGTCCACTCAGTTTGTCAGCAACCTGGCAGCTCTCTCCTCCTGTTGGCCCCATCCCATCTTCAGCATGGCAGCTGGAGGAGGAAGAGGGCTGGGGAGAAGGGGAGGAAAGGAGCCGGAAAGTGACCAGAGCAAGGCCGGCGATGGGGAGAAGACAGATCATCGATCAGCATGTAGGACTGCATGTGGTTGTGTGTGTCCATCCCCTCCTGACCTCCCACAGACCCCTGAGAAGCTCAGTCTCCTATATTTCCTTTTTCCAGCCCAGATAAAACCTATGCCCTTGCTGGTTCTGCCGATGGCGGTCTCTACATCTGGAATCTGGAGAGCGGCAAGCTGGAGACCAGCCTCTATGGGCCCCACAGGTGAGCCTCTGGGGTCCAGCTTTCTCAGGGAGAGGACAAGGGGGGTGGGATACACCCTTGGCAAGGCAGGCTGTGCTCTGGATTCTCTGAGTATCTCCAGCTCTAGACAAACCACGAGCCTCTTAGTGCTCCAAATGCCAGAATAAGATCCAGAGGAGATCTCCGCAGCTTCTTAACCCATACTTTAGGAAGTGGCTCCTTCACCCCTTTTGGAGATCAAAATATACCCAAATGGGTCGAAGGGAAGTTGGAGATGTTTTAATCTGGAGGAGAGAAGATGTCATGGGGGACATGCTAGTTGTCTTCAAGCATGTGAAGGGCTCTCACGTGGGGAGGGCTCCAGAGGCAGAGCCAGGAGAAGATCCATTGAGGCAGACTTTGGACTGACAGAAAGAAAACTTCCTAGGACTTTACAGCCATCCCAGAGTAGAAGCGTTACCTCAGGTGGGCTCCCTACCACCAAAGATCTTCAGGCAGTGTCTGGATGACCACTTGTCAGGGGTTTTGGGCTAAATGACCTCTGAGGTCATCTTTGTCACCTGTGCACCATCCAGAGTGGTACCACCCAGGCTTTGTGGGGCAGCGAGGTGATGCTGGGAATAGAGAGACCTCAAGTCAGGAAGCCTCGAGTTCAGATCCAACCCCAGACACGTACTAGCTGGGCAAATCGCTTCACCTCTGTCTGCCTCAGTTTCCTCATCTGTAAAAGAGGGATAATAATAGCACTTCCCTCCCAAGGTGGTCGAGGATCAAATGAGACAAGGTTTGTAAAGTGCTCTGCAAACCTCAAAGTGTTCCAGAAATGTTTGCTGTGGTGATGATGATGATGATATTCCTGGTCTTATCCTTTCCCGTTCTCAGCCTCAGCTTTCCCATCTGTAAAATAGAGACAAACAGTACCTCTACTTTTATAGGATTGTCATGAGGATCCAATCAGAGAGTGGATGATCACCTGTATTTAACATATAGGGAAGTTGAGGTCTAGAGATTGTAAACCCCAGGCTGTCACACAACATGCTAGTGGCTGAGTTAGGACTGTTGATTATCCCCTATTCAGCCTCCCCTCCACCACCCCCAAGTATTCATATGCCTTCTCTTCCTCTGTCCACAGTGTCTCCATCAATGCAGTAGCCTGGTGCTATGCTGGAACACATGTTGTTAGCGTGGATCAGGGGAAGAAGGCTGTGCTTTGGAGTTAGGCCGACCTGGCCATCACCTGGAGCTGGGAGCCTCCTTCCTCTCCCTCTGCCTCTGCCTCTCCTCCCCCATGGTACTGGATAAGTTCTGGCGGGTTCCAGAGCCTGAGATACCAGGGAGGTGCACCGAGGACAGAGCTGGGGGAAGCTTTGTGGGGTCTGGAGGGAAGGAACTGTGTCCTATCTTAAGTCATCTGTCATCGTGAACATTCAGAGGGAAAGGGGTGGGCTTTTTTCTGCATAAAACTTTATAAAAAATTTTTTTTCTTAATAGTATTTTTTCCCAATCACATGTAAAGATAGTTTTCAGCATTCATCTTTGTAAGATTTTGAGCTCCACATTTTTCTCCCCCCTTCTCTCCAAGATAGTAAGCAATCTGATACAGGCCATACATGTACAGCCATGTTAATCATATTTCCACATTAGTCATGTTGTGAAAAAAGCAGCAGAACAAAAGGGGAAAACCATGAGAAAGAGAAAAACAAATAAAAAAAAGGTGAAAATAGCATGCTTCCATCTGCATTCAGACTCCAGAGTTCTTTCTCTGGATGTGGACAACATTTTCCATCATGAATCTTTTGGGGTTGTCTTAGATCCTTGCATTGCTGAGAAGAGCCAAGTTTATCAAAGTCAGTCATTGTACAGTGTGGCTGTTACTGTGTACAATGTTCTCCTCATTCTCCTCATTTCACTCTGCATCAGACCATACAAGTCTTTCCAGGTTTTTCAGAAGTCTGCCTGCTCATCATTTCTTATAACACAATAGTATTTCATTACATTCATATACCACAACTAGTTTAGCCATTCCCCAATTGATGAGCATCCCCTCATTTTCCAATTCTTGGCCACCACAAAAAGAGATGCTATAAATTTTTTGTACATGTGGGTCCTTTTCCTTTTTTTATGATCTCTTTGAGATATAGATCTAGAAGTGCCTGGGTCAAAGGGTATGCAGAGTTTTGTAGCCCTTTGGGCATAGTTCCAAATTGCTCTCTGGAATGGCCGGATCAGTTCACAACTCCACAAACATGCATTAAAACTTTTGATTGACAGACTGGCCTTTGGCTTGGGGAGGGGGTGAGGGTCTGAGTCACATGGTCAAGAGGAAGTTGTATCCCAGGATTAATGATTACAGCCTCAGCCCCAAAGTGAGCTTTTAACTTGGTCCCAGCAGGTAGAGGGGCCTGAGGAATAGACACAGGGCTCTCCCCATGTCACAGTTACTGCATGCCCAGCCCCCTTTGCTGCTCCCTGCTGGCGAGCTGAGTCAGTACTTGGAGCCAGGACCCCAGGCATTTGTGGTTGTGGCCCTGGCCAGGGTCAGAGGTTGCTTGCAGGGGGTGTCCCTAGGGAGCCATGGTGATGTTTCATTGGCTGGACTGCTCTGCAGTGAGGTTTGTTCTGTTGGCAGAGGACAGCGCTGTGGAAGGATGAGTACGGGCCCAATTAGGAATGGGGAAGAAGGCTCCCCTATCTGTGTCTCCTTTAGATCTTCAAATGATGGCCTACAGGTGGGCTGAAGAGACCAGGGCAATGGGTCTAGGGCATTTGGTGGAGAAGGCCGTGGGTGGAAGAATGGAAGTGTTGGGTGAGTGGGCAGGGGAGCAAGAGCATAGTGGAAACAGTGAAGGCTTTTGAGCAGAGGGTCCTGAATTCAAGTTGGGGCTTCATTCCTGGGTGACTTTGGGCAGCTTAACCCCTCAGCACTTAGTTTTGTCATCCGTGAAATGAAGGGGCCAGATGAGGTGATCACTGAGGCACTTGCCAGCTCTCAATCTGTGCCTCCATTTGAAGAAAAATGTGAACTTTACACAAGGCAAAAGGAACATGGTCACTTGGGGTGAGGCCTTCACTATCAGCCCTAGAGATGCCCTCAGTTCAGTGGATGGTGGAAACAGCAGAGATCAGGAGACACCCCACAAGGGCATGCTAGAAGGTACTGAGTCTTGTAGCTCATTCTTGCCAAGGCAGTGCCAGGCTCTAGTGCTTGGCTGCTGGTGAGGGACTAAATGTCAGCACTCTGAGGGGACGAAGCCCTGGGCACCCCACCTTCCTCAGGGTGTGATGAGGAGGGAGATGATGCCCGCCTTGTGCAGGGGCCAGGTACAGAGTTTAGATAAGACAGTCAGTCCCTCCCTGTCAGGCTTGACACCAACACAAGTGTTGGTACACATAACACATAATATGACGGGATGAGTGTCTATAAGGTCTCAGGGAGAATTCTGATACCAAGACGCGGGGGGAACCAGGGAAGTTAACCCAAAGGAAGAATTCCAAGTCAGAAAGGAGGAAGGATATTCCAGGCAGAGGGAACAGGGAGCAAAGCCCTAGAGACTCCTATGTCGAATGGTCTAAAGTCCCCCATGACTCTGACGAGGCTGACACAGAGCTCACAGCTTCGGAAAGAACACTGGTCTTCGTCACCTACCATGTGAGTGATGCTGACTAAGCCATTTTGTTTCTCCAGGGATGAAAGGGATGAACTAAAGGTCTCTTTTGGCTTAAAAAAATATCTACTCCCGTGAAGAGCTGAGGTCTGTAAGAGGCAGGGCTTTGAGGCGTCTCTGTCCTGGAGACCAGTGGCCACCAGAGGGCGTCCATCACCCACCAAAGTCCTAGGGCAGGTTGGTCTCTGTGAGACCAGGTGACTGAAACCCGGGACATTGGCATGGGAACCGCAGATAACTACAGAACATGCCAAATCTGCAGAGGGCGTTCCATTTATTGTCTAATCTGAACCTCACAGTAAACTTGTGAGACAGGTAGATAGAGCAAAGGTTCTAACCTGGGATCAGGGCACTTTAAAAAAATGGATAACTTTTTCAATAGAATTGGTTTCCTTTGTAAGTATTTTATACATTTAAAAACATTATTCTGAGACGTGGTCCATAGGCTTCACCACACCGCGGGGCAACCACCCCACTACCGCCACACACAGAGTAGGAAGACCTGCCTAGGCAAGGCGCAAGGTGGCCTGGGGGAGAGAGAGGAGGCAGCCTGGGCCTGGCAGTTCAAACCACTACCACTGCCTTCTTTGGTCACCATCTCCCCCAGCCTGTGATGGCGACAGCGCCAGACCCCGACCCCAAGAGCCCTGGGAATGAAAGTGCTTCCAGCCCAGCACTCTCAGCTGTGATCCTGTGGCCCTGCAGCGTGGTGACTGCTGCTGCAGGCTCCTCTGTGCTCCTCCGGGCAGCCGCAGTGACTGAAGACCCAGAAAAGATGTTTTGTCAGTGGCAGTGACATTACAGAAGAGGCATTACTACCCACTTCCCCGCTGAACCTTGAAGGCCATGGGACCTAACTGCGAGGCAATGCAGTGGATAGAGCACTGGGCCTGTTGTCAGGAAAGCCTGGGTTCAAATGTGATCGCAGACACCTACTAGTTGTGTGAACCTGGGCAAATCATTTAACCTCTGGTTTTTGCCTCAGTTTCCTCAATTGTAAATAATAGCACCTACCTAGCAGGGTTATTGAATGGATTAAATGAGATAAGTGCTTAGCCTGGCACCCAGCAGATGCTCTGTAAATGCTTATTCCCTTCTCTTCCCCTCCCACCGCCCCCTAACTTTCCATCAGACTTGCAGCTGGCAACTTCCCATGTGTGTTGTCTCCACCATTAGAATGGGAGACTTTTGGGAGCAGGGGGCTTAGCACATAAAGTAAGTACTTAGTAAATGCTTTCTCTCCTTCCTCCCCCCCACCCAAATCAGGACACAGAAGAGGTTAAGAACCCCTGGACGAGAGAAATTACTATCCCTATTTTACAGATGAAAAAACTTGAGGCTTAGAGAAATGGTTATATATGTAACCAGGGTGCTCTTGCCAAACTCCCTTACCTGCCCTCCAAGGATCATTTCTTCTAGGGCTGGTGGTGATGGTAGTTTAGGAGGGACAGAAAGGTCAGTCCTCCCTCTCCCCTCTGACTCTCCCCTCCCTGTTGAGTGTGAGAGTGCACAGCCACGACAAGGCTGGTTTGTGGGCATGAAGCTGCTGAGATGCAAACATTTTTTCTTCTCCCCATGAGGGTAATGGCCAGTTATTGCTGTTACAGCCCACCTGCAGGATCCTGAGTCAGCTACAGGCAGCAGGCACACACAACTTTGGATACGTCGTCGTCGTCGTCGGCATGAAGAAGGCAAAAGCCCAGGTGCATCAGTCTGTTCTCTTTGAAGTCTGCTGATGATCTTTGGGGCAGGCTGGGGCTCCTCCGGGGAAGGGGACGAAGGGAGAAGACTTGCCTCCAGGTAACTGGAAGAAAAGGCAGACTTTATCACCTGTCTAAGTTTGAATAGGAAGCTGTCCAGATTACCAGCTGATGTGAGCACCTCCTTCAAAGAGGTATCTGTAAAGCGCTGAACATAGTGCCTGGAACATAGCAGGTGCTGCTTAAATGCCTACTCCCTCCATGGCCCTCTTGGAGACTCTTCCTTCTTCAGTCCTCAAGGTGTGGGTCCACCCCGAGCCTCTGTTCCAGGTTCCTACTGACCACCCCTTAGCGGCAGCTTGCTCCAGCTTGATGTGTGGTACTTGCTTCAGGCCGAAGGATTCTCTAGCTGCAGGTTATGCTAGTTCCTAGCCTTTGGGGAGGACAAGCATAGCCCGCAAGGGAAGGCAGGTGGGATGAAAGCAAGGCCCCTTGTGTCATTTTAGCACCTGGGAACATTTAGCCTGGAGAAGCAGATGTTCAAATGTCTGGAGGGCTCTCCTTAGGCTCTAGTGTTATCTCTTGTGTTCCAAGCCCCATTCTGTTCACCCTGCTCCACCCCAACTCCAGTGTGGGCTCTGCTCCTGTCTCACCACAATATTACAGAAGTCTCCTAACTGATTTCCCTCCATCAAGTCTCAACCCTACACAACTAAAGCCCAGGTCTGGTCATGCCATTCCTATGATCCTGCTCCAGCGACTGTTACTCTGGGATCCAATGCAAACTCCTGTCACCTGAAGTCCTTCGCAGTCTGGTTCCAGGCCACCCTTCCAGCCTTATCGTACCTTACTCTCCTTAAACAGTCTATTCCAGCCAAGCTGGTCTACCTGCCATCTTCCTCCTATTCCTTTGCCCAGGTCATCCCCCAAGCCTAGGATGTCTCCCTCCTAGTCTGCACCTTAGAATCTCCAGCTTCCTCCAAAGCTCAGTTCAAGCACAACCATCTCCACAGACCTTTCCGGATGTTTCCTACACTTACATATACTTTGAACGTATTTATATATATAAAACTTATCTATGGACAAAGAGACTGCTTTTGTATCCCCTAGGCTTAGCGGAGCTCCTGGCACCATTAGGCACTTAATAAATGAATCTGAGTCCATGTAGTAGAACTAGGAGTAACAGAGGCATATGTCACCTTAATCTAAGAAGGGTTCCTAAGGAAAATTCTCCTATTCTTCCCTGCTATCTGACCTCCCCACCCGTCTTGGATACTTCTCCTTCTTTAGTCCACAAAGCATGGGCATACCCTGAGGCTCTGTCCTAGGACCTCCCCTCTTCACTCACAGGCCCAACACTACACCAAAGCTCTAAGACCCATGAGGCATCTCCCTATCTCTAGTCTCCCCTCTGCAATTCATTCTTCATGCCCTGCAGTCATATTGCTAGTGCACAGGTCTTTCCACTTTACTCTCTTGCTCACTTTCAGGAGCTCCCTGTTATCTACTGCATAAAATAAAACTTCTTTTTCTTGTCATTAAGGCTATTCATGATCTGGATCCTAGCTACCTTATAAGCATTTTTTCTTTCTCTTCTTTGCAAAAGATGTTCTAGCCAAACTGGATAATTGGCCGTTTCTTGATTTTGTCCTGCACTCTTGCCTTCATGCAGTCTCTCCTGCCAGGAATGTCTTTCCCTTAGTGTCCCCTCACCATCACCCCAGCTTAAAGTGATCTCTCTCCTAACTTCTCACAGCATTATATTTGGACCTCCCCTTTGCCCTGATCTACCTTGTATTAGGCTGACTTATGTCTCTATCTGATCCTGTCCTCTCAGACTGCAAGTCTCTTGAGAGCAAGAACTGTGCTGGATTTATAATGATCATACTAAGTGCAGATATTTGTACAGTGCTTTAAGACAGCTCTTTACAAAGAACTTGGTATGCACTATCTCATTTGCTCTTTTGCTTCCTCTGCAATGAGCCCTTAAATCATCTGAGATGCTTCCCTAAGGGAGATTCCAGGACTGGGATGGGAGATGCTGCTTCCAATGTCTTTTCCTCCCCTGACACTCTGGGACCATAAGAGGAGTCTGCGGAGTGGAGCTTGTATAAGGGAACTTAAGAGGGATGGTCAGACTTGACTCTTTTGGATTATGGCTTCAATTTGGACTTTGGAAGTTGGAAGAGATCACTGAAGCTTGCCGAGGGTCACCGTCCTTCTCCCTCAGTATCTGGCATATCCAAAGGAGTGCTCAGACTCTTAATTCTTCCAAGTTAGAACTGATTTCGAGGAAGTATAGGAGGGGAGGAGGTGGGGGCTGGGGGAGGCAGTGTGTTGGCTCATCACAGCTGCTAACTATTTCAGAGGAGATGGAGATGCTATCAATGGGATTGTTTTTGCCAAAGCTGAGAAACTCAAAGCCTCAATTCCACTTTTTTTTATTATTCAACATTTTATACATAATAAATACAAACTTTTTACAGCCAGTACAGAGGAAGCCCTTGCACAGGTGTTCTCAGTGTACTCACACTGTACACTGGGATACATGGATTACGTGCCCTGTACAAACAAGTCATAGTTAAAAAGGAGGCATTTTTACAACTTTTTGTTTTAAATAAAATTAGCAGCTCTTACAGAATATTTAAAATATAACTAAAGAGATTTCCAATAACACTCTCAATTTGGAGAACTTGATTTGCGGGCACAGACAGACTGGCTGGGGGAAGAGGAGGAGAACAGCAGAGTGATACTTACTTGACTTCAGCATCGTGATGCTTTTAACATTTCTGCAAACTTTTAAATCTTAAAAAACACTTTTTTTAAACTTAAGAATAAGTTTGATAAACACATAAAAAGACCTCAAACAGATCAACAGGTTAAGAGGCGCAAACGAACAAAAAATACAGAAGGGATTCATCCACAATCCTTGTTACTGATGAAATGAAGCAATCCAGAGAACGTTTCCTTGGATGAGACTGGACTTTTGGTCCAGGGGCCTGGGAAGCACTCTCTGCTTCAGAGATCTTTTTCTGAGGTCAGACTCTTTGAAGTAATGTGTGCAAAGTTCAGATAATGTCATCTAAATGTAATATTGATTTCTTTAAAAATAAAACAGTAAAAGCAAAGCAACCTCCCAAAACAGCCCTTTTAAGCTAAGTCATCAATTCTCAATCTTCTGGGTTAGGCAGAAAATCTTCCTACCCAATCGTGCAGACAAAAATAGTTTTCCTTAAATACCCGGGAGCTGCTTCTCCCCAGAAACTTTAGATCTCATCAATATTGCTAGTGAAGCCACAGTCTCTCTCCCTGTAATGGGGAGTTGGGGGTGGGATTCTCCACTGCATCATGAGTTTGGATTTGTGCCAAGCCATCAATCAAGGCCAAATGGCAATGTCTCCTTTCTTCCCTTGGGCTTCAAGGCCCTGGTAAAATTTTTCTGGACACTGATGGAGGCAGATGGCTCATGCTGCTGCCCCCAGGCCACAGTGGGGCTGATCTCCCTGGATTCACTGCTGTGAACCAGTTGCTGGGCTTCCATCAGCTGGGCTGATGAGCCAACTAGAAAATAACACTTAGTCCCCTGAACTCTGACCCCTCCCAGGTTACCCAATGACAAGGCTGAGTTGTGGCTGGGATGCAGCTTCTGGGAGGTCCATGGTGATGACAGGTCAGGGTGGGTGCTCTGATACTCAGCAGGAGGAGGTCAGTCAGGTGGGGCTTTCCTATGGAGATGAGGCCTTTCTCCTTGATGTGAGGAACTTCTCTGAAATGTGCTGCCCCCTTCCCCAGCTGGGGGGGCAGGGAGGGCAGGCTGTGACTACTAGACAAGTAGCAGGAAGAGGAACACCAAGGGCACTGAGGCCTTTCGGGGCTGGCAGCATGGCCTGTCCTGTGAAGGTAGCAGGGGCTGTGATGAGAAGCCGGCCCTTCCACCCCAAGCCCTGTGCTTCTGCCCCTCTTCTGAGGCTGGAGAACCTGATTCATCTTCACCACTCATCACATGGGTGATGGTGCTCCGGGTCTGGGCAAGTCCGTAACACATTCCTATGGCCACAGTAATATACTGTACTAACACATGTGACAGGAGGGGGCTGGGATCAGGCCACACAAGCGGCCAAGAGCTTGCCCCAAGTTGCAGGTGTGCCTGCCTGGCCAGGGCCATTTGCCACTCTGGGCTTGTGCTCGGGAAGGAGAGATGACTCACAGAAAACAAGCAAAGGCACAGAATCTTCATGACTGAGGGGAGGAAAAGGGCAGGCTGCTGCTGCACACAACCTCCTCCCTTGTTCCTGCTCCTTAATAAGAGTCATCTTCATGCAAAGGTGCCTTAAAAAATGAGCTTGGCCAAACTCAACTGGTTGGGCCATGACTGTGGGGCACCTGGCATCACACCAGCGTGATCTCCACATCCTCCATCTTGTCTGTGGGCCTGCGGTGGCTCTGAGTGGGAGGAGGCGGTGCAGCTCGTACCTGGGGGAGAGAACACATGGAGCTCCATGGGCGTGCTGGTCTACCTTTTCAGCCTCTGAACAAAGTAACACTTGACACTCAAAAGGGAATAAGGGAGACTGGTGGGTCAAATGCTGCTTTGAACATGGGCTTACATTCACTCATCCATTCGTTCTCTACTTACATACACTCAGCCCTGGGGATGATACCAAGGCAACAGGATGTGATGCAAAGATTGAGTTCCTAGAGGTCACAGGATCCTAGTTCTAGAGCAGAAATAACACCTCGAGAGTAGAAGCCCAAAACTCAAATTCACAAATAAGGAAACTAAGGTCCAAGCAGTAAGTGTCAGGAGTGGGATCGAACGAAGGTCCTCAGACCTTCCTTCCTCCCCCTGTGCTCTGTGACAATTTACTGCCTGCAGGGTGTTGGGTAGTTACTGAACCTTTCTGGGCCTCAGTTTCCTTTCCTGCAATGAGGAGACTAGACAAGCTGGAGACAGCTAAGCCCTTTACTGAGCTCTGGAAGGCACCCACTACATATGCTGAGAAAGAGGCAGTGTGACGTAATGTAGACACGAACAAACTTGGACTCAGGAGAAATGTAGGTTTCAATCCTGCCTCTGACCCTCATCCATGTCTTTGAGTCTCCACTTCCTCCTCTGTGAAATGGGTATATTAATCCTTTTACTCAAGGTCTCTCTGAAGAGCTTGGGAATCGATTGTGAGACACGGAGGCACTGGCACAGGACGGCCCACCATGGTGTGCCTGCATCAAAGAAAGCCCTGGGCCCTATGAGCAAAGGAGGATTGCGGTAGCTTAAAAGGATCGTGAGATGTGCAAATTCACAGCTGGACCATTTGTGCCTGAGCTGCAGTAGGGCCTTCTGAGCTCAGGCTGGTCTGATCAGCCACAGTCGGACACACTGTACTTGACCCCAACACAGTAATGTCATTTTGGTCCTCTGCAAGTATGAAGGACACCAACCAGCCATATTGATACCTCTGGTATGTGCCAGGGTGGTTGTGAGGATCAGATGAGATGAAAGTGCTATACACATTCTGACCTCCGCCACTACGGCTAAGAGATCATGGAAGGCTTTGGGGAAGCTTTGAGAGTGGACATCATCGATGATGGCGCACAGACTTGGAACACATTCCTCATGACAACTCTGCGAGATGGAGGTAGAACCAATGCTGTTATTCCCATTTTATTTTTTTTTTTTAATTTTAATTTTTTTTAATTTTTCTTTTGAGGCAATTGGGGTTAAGTGACTTGCCCACAGTCACACAGCTAGTAAGTGTCTAGTGTTTGGTCTGAGGCTGGATTTGAACTCGGGTCTTCCTGACTTCAGGGCCAGTGCTCTATCCACTGTGCCACCTAGCTACCCCCCTGTTATTTCCATTTTACAGAGGGGAACATCAGCCCAGAGCGGTTAGAGGACTCAGCATATGAGAGCTGTATTTAGAGACCAATCAATCCACCCACCCTCCTGCTCATCTTCCCCCTATGGTAACACCCATGTTGCCGATAAAGAAACTGAGGGCCAGAATCGAATTAAAGATAGAATTATGAGAAAAGGACGGAGGGGGTGAATGGGGCCAGATTGTGGAGGGCCTCAAATGCTAGGCTTTGGAATCTGGCTTTTCTCTGGTGGGCTGTGAGCGGGGGAAGTCACAGCGGGTTTTTGCCCAGTGAGAAGAAACAGAGTTAGAATATAGGAAAGTGACTCTGGCCCCAGAGGCTGGAAAGAGACATTGGGAGAGACTAGAAGAAGAAGGTACAGGTAAGGAGCTGCTAGGGTCAGATGAGGCCTGGGTTTGCTGGGGAACCTGGGGAAGGGGATGCAGAGATGGAGAGGAGGAAGAAGTTTCAAGGCATTACAAAATAAGGACTGATAAGGCTTGGGAACTGACCAGATTAAGGAGGGAGTTACGGTAGCATGGATGACTGGGAAACCAATGTAGTACAATTAAAAGAGAAGCAGATAAATGGGGAAAAAAATCTTTGCAGTAAGTTTCTCTGATAAAGGTCTCATTTCTAAGCTACATGGGAAATGTATTCAAATTTGTAAGAATAAAAGCCATTCCCCCAAATGATAAATAATTAAGAGATAAATACAGGAAGTTTTCAGAGGGTTACCAATAGCCATAGGATAAATTGCTCTAAATCACCAAAAATTAGAAAAATGCAAATTACAACATCTCTGAGGTACCGCCTCACACCTACCAGACTGGCTAAAATGACAAAAAAGAAAAATGACAAATGCGGTGGGGCTATGAGAAAATGGTACTGGTACATTAAGAAACTATTGGTGGAACTATGAACTAATTTGACTATTTTAAAAAACAATTTGCAACTATACACAAAAATCAATTAAATTGTACACATCCTTTGGCCCAGCAATACCATTATAAAGGAAAGGGGAAAAGGACACATATTAAAAAAATATCTGCAGCTGCTCTTTTTGTAGCAGCAAACAACTGGAAACTGAGGGCATGCCCATCAATTGGGGAATGGCTAGACAAGTCATGGTACAAGAATGTGGTGGAATACTATTGTGATATAAAATGCATGATGTGGGGGACGGTTTCAGAAAAACCTGGGAAGCCTTGAATGTACTGATGCAAAGTGAAGTGAGTAGGGCCAGGAGAGTAACTTATACAATAACAACAAAACTGTAAAGAAGAACATCTTTCAAAGACTTAGGAACTCTGATCAATGCAATGAATGACCACAATTCCAGAGGACTCGTGATGAAACATGCTGGCTACCTGCAGATACCGAGGTGATGGTCTCACAGTGCAGATCCAGGATTATGCTGGGGGGTTATCTTTGGACATGGCCAATGCCAGATTTGTTTTGCTTGGCTACACTTATTTGTAATAA